AGTTGTTGTGTACTAAGCTGTATAAGTTACTATACATAGTTTTTTAACTATCCCACGAAAACTCTATAATTTTTTGGGATGAAAAGTATCGAAAATATTGACCGGGGATATAAGGTACCACCATGCAAAATTTTATTTAAATCGTTTCAACAGTTTCGGAGATTAGCCCTTACAAACAGATTAACAGACAGAGAAACAAAAAATTTGAAAAATATCTGGATTTTTTCTATTTCTCTTCTTATACCCCCCGACTCGGTTTTTAGCATTTTTTTCTATGTACATACAGACATTCGACCTCTACAGTTTTATTATATTAGTAAATATATACGGCTACTTCTAATATTGGCGAGGAATTAGACAGTCATTTAGAGTAAATTTAAGTCTTCTTTGTCTATCTATAAGATTATAGACTCTAGAGGATTCCCTAGATAAGAGGAAAAGGGGATGGAAGAGTCAGAAATCCTGGGGAACAGCAAATTTCTAAAGAAAAAATTCTTTGGTTAATTTCTATATTTATGTTCATCTAAATATTACTTATTATGTTCAATGTGTAATTTTATAAGTAGTGTAGTGCTTGTTCGCCAACTAATTTCTATGGATTACAAATTTAGCGCGGGTTTTACTCGCGTGCCTTTTTATAACAATTCGCGGTTTTAAAATCAGTCGCGTGGCGCTGTCCACACTGCGATATTTGACCATGGGATTTTTAAACTTGCGTATTATATTCCGTGATCAGAATTATACTTATTACGCACTGGGAATGAAATTTCGTACAATTTTTGTCAGTTGGATGTAGTTACCGGCTAAAACGAACGTCTTAAAATGAATAACAGTAAAAATTATTAGCTTACGGCGGTGGCGTTAGTCGTATGAGACCTATAAAAAGATGTCATGAACATTAGATTCACCCATTTACGGCCTTGAGAAATCATCTCATCGCGTTCAATTTGCATCAAATCACAGATTTTTTTCTCCTGATTTTTTACCCGCCAGTGCGGCTAAACTATAAGAATTAAGATTCAATGTGCTGTAACCATTGAATCTTAATTCTTATAGTTTAACGCAATTGCGAGAAAAAAACGTGCAGTGAAATATCGCAGTGCGGACAGGGCCTTAGGAAGTTAGGACTGAGTAATCTGCGCGATGGGTTCTGAATCTGATTGTCATAAATTGTCAATAATAATTGTCTGTTGTCATCTCAAGTTATCTGTTACAATTAGTTATGGGCGTTTTCGCTTTTTTATGTCATCGGTGAACCTACCCTACCCCAGCCTGTAAATTTATGATATTCGCAATGAAAAAAATACTAATCGATAGATTTTTAATAGCTCAATTCAACTACGTAGCCCTTCCAAATTGCTCACCATTAATTATAAAATTAAAAATCAATAAAGTCCTTGAAAAAAATTCATTAATCCGTATATTCAAATTTCTATATCTTTTGATATATACAATATTTTAAATTGCTCAAAGTTCTAAAATACTGCTCAAGTTGCATTTGTAATTGCTCAAGTAGAGTTCTCACCAGCTCCACTTTCCTTAATTATTAAATAAATATAAATAGTTTGAATAAATTTAACGTATAGATAGGTGAGTGCTGCGCATGCGCGCAAACAGTAACGCTAGTCGCAAGGCAAAAAAATCAAGTGTTTCATAACCTCATCATAATATACTCAGAGGCACAATTAACCGCCCACTTACATTTTCCGATGTAACTTCAAAAATTCATTTCGGAATTAATTTTTTCTTGGCAATATTATAGATTGGATAATATCAGATATAAAAAAATAATAAACAAATCGGATATTGCTTTAATTTTTTTTTAAATGAAAAAAAGTTAGAAATTACCGAATAGTAAACAAAAATAAAGGTGATGAAAAACAATCTAAAACTTTTTGTTGACATTGAAAACAAAAATTTTAATAACAAGTATTGCTTCCTCTGGCTCTTATGACCTCCTCCAGTCGATTTGGAACACCATCCATTATGTCCTGAATATCTGACTGCGGTATATTCCCCCACTCTTCGACCACAGCAATCTTCAGCTCATTAATGGAGGAAGGGGCTGCAACCCGACTTCATACCCGCCTTTTAAGATTGTCCCAAACATATTCGATAGGGTTTAGGTCCGGGCTTCGCGCTGGACAGGGTAGTCGTGCTATACCCACGGCATCAAGGTACACCACTCTAGCAAACAAAGCGTTATCATGCATTAAAAGAAAATCTTGTCCAATAAATTAGGCAAAAGGGATGACATGAGATTCTAAGACCTCTTCCACGTACCTCTGAGCGTTTACGCTGCCTCTTTCAAACACAACCAACTCTGTACGAGCCTCATAAGAATAACCACCCCATACCATTACTGAGCCACCTTGATAGCCTACTGTTTTAACAACAGCACATTGTGCAAACCTCTTACCGGGGCATCGGTACACGCGCTGGCGTCCATCGGGACCTCTTAGAGCTACTCTGGACTCATCAGAGAAGAGGACGTTCTTCCATTGCTCCATGGTCCAGTTCCGTTATTATTGAGCAAATCGAATTCTGGCTCTTCGGTGCTCTGTGGTCAACGCTGCAACTCGAGCTGGCCGGAATCCAGTCAAATTACGCTCTGCAAGCCTTCTTCTTATAGTCCAAATGCTTACGCTTACATTTCGTACTTCATATAGGCGATAACGGGCTTCGAGAGCCGTAGTGAAGCGATTTCTTAGAACGTTGGACACGATGAAGCGGCCATCTAGTTCAGAAGTGCACCTCCTACGACCTTGTCCTGGTCTTCTAGTGTAAGATCCAGTTTCTGTGTATCGTCGGATGGCATTACGTATCGTGGTTCGAGGATATCGGCGTCATACGGCCTATATGACGCTGGCTATATCCAGCATCTGATAGCGCCACCGCTCTAGCTACACCGGCTGCATCCAATGGCATTTTATTGAGTAAAGAGCAACTATCAAACCCTGACGCACCTTATGAACCAAGAAATGTGTCTAAAAACTTCACCGGCAATACTTTATTTACTTTGAAAACAATAAGTTAGAAAGTCAATTTTCGACTATACTCTATAAAAGAGACTCGCACTTGAGGGTATCTTTGAAAACGGGGCATAAATTGTCTTAATTTATCATAAACTACCCACTTAACAAATGGTCATTCAAATTCATAAGCGTTTAGTGATTGTAAACAAAGTTACGTCGCTTTAGCCTGGTGGGCGGTTAATTGTGCCTCTGAGTATATTAATTTATCTGTTGGTATTAATTTTCATTTATTGGTAGATTCCAGATCTGTTCTTTATGTTATAATATCTGAAGTGGAATCACGTAATGTGAACAATTCATAAATTCAATAAATTTAAAGAAATCCACCGAGAAACAGAATTAAGACGTTGAATTGGAACGATTGTCCAAGCCCGCCGAGGCCGACTGACAATGCGCGGTGCGCATGCGCACGCTCACTTAACCTACGTTACATTTATTACAACTATACTTTTAATTATTTAATAATCAGCGAAAGTGGAGCTGGTAAAAACTCTACTTGAGCAATTACAAATGCAACTTGAGCAGTGTTTTAGAACTTTGAGCAATTTGAAATATTGTATACATCAAAAGATTTTGGAGTTTGAATATACAGATAAATTAATTTTTTTTCAAAGACTTTATTGATTTTTAATTAAATAATTAAAGGTGAGCAATTTGAAAGGGCTACGTAGTTAAATTGAGCTATTGAAAATCTATCGATTAGTATTTTTTTCATTGCAAATATCATAAATTTGCAGGCTGGGGTAGGGTAGGTCATCGGTGAGCAACGTTTTTCCGTAAATGTCATCCGTTGCCGGCACCGTTGATACTGGCACCGTTGCCGGCATAGATTATGTCACCCTTTTTAGTTGCCGCTCGATAGCGTTGTGGATGCTGACCGTTGTAACGACAACTTTAGTTAGTAAACGAGTAACGTTATATGATGCGACGTTGTTTAGTGTAGATAATATGACATTGTTATGATAAAAAAATAGATGTTATTATAAACTAGTATAATCATTTTTACTTCAAATACCTAAGCAATTTAATGAATTTACTACATACTATTTATATATGTAGCAATATACTCTATGATACTATTGTTTTTGGCAATTATACCTACCTACTTATAAATTACAAATGCTATGCGTATAGGTGACTACCTATGTGTTGAGATAATTTAAATTATGTAATGGGATACAAAATAAAATAGGCCTATATATATAAAAAACGAAACGAAGGGAAACGATTCGATTCATCGTGCGTACAGCGTGACTCGTGAGTTGTCGAATGTCGTTGTTGGTGCGGGCAACGTTATATCGATAATCCAGCAACGGATGCCGGTATCGGTTAGTGACATCGTTGCTCATCAACGTTTTATAGGAAACGGCCAACTCTAGTTACAATTTGTCAATTGTAACCAGGGGGGGGACACTCAAGTCATTGCTAATTTTTGTAAAGAAAGTTGCGCCATCTACTTTTCCTAACTGGTAAAAATGCTCAGTGTCTCATTAACTTGCCCATAGATGTCGCTTAAATAATATTCGATCTTGTACTAATTATAATTAATACCATATTAATTAAATAGATAATTAAAGACTTAAGATTATTATTTTATATACAAAAATATTTTATAAAATAAAAAAAAACTATCAATACTTGTTCCAAATGGCAATTTTAATATTTTTACAAGCAATTCCTAATATTCCTATTATGGCAATACTAGTAAGTGGTAACGACAAAATTCAAATTTCCAATTACATTTTTTGGCCATTTTTTGTGTATTTTTCGTTTTTGTAGCATTTCTTATTCATCAGACGTTAAGTCGAGATTACTCCTCCGTCCTGATACCAAGATTATTACCAAAACACACAATTTTATTGTGTCTGCTACAGTGTGACGAATTATCGTACATACTTCGTAGTTTAGTGATATTTCGCGATAAGGACGGTTTTCTGTGGTGTGTGAGTTATAAAAAGCAACACGATGCCTCATCGCTGCGCTTTTGGATGTAAAAACACCAACAGTGGTAAGTATATACTCATTTCATAACGAATTCATGCCCGCGGTACTCAAAAGGTGTTTGCTTGCCGGCACTTCTAATCATAAAAAGTAAAGACAAAAATATAAAATAACCAGCAATGTATAGATTTGAATAATGTATAAAATATTTTTTATTCTAAAATACAGAGCTTTGTTTAAAAGCAATGTTTGAAATAGACATGTAATAATATGTAATTACTGGTAGTACATTAAATTTTAGTAAAACTTATTACTTTCAGGTGTGGTGATGCATATGTTTCCAAATCCAAAAAGATTTCCTGAGCACTTCCATGCATGGGTAAATCTTCTCGGAGGAAAGTTTGAAAGATTATCAGATCATGAAATCTACTTAAGAAAGAGGATTTGTGATATACATTTCACTGATGCACATAGAAATCGGTATAAGCGCCTCAATGCATTAGCAATGCCAACATTGTATCTACCAGGTATGTTATAAATATATATTATTTGCATTATTCTTCATCCATTCTTTGTTGGAATTAACTGCTTTAAAATTAATGAAATAGAGAAAACATAGACTATAGGTCTGACTGACTGACTGTTAGGTCCTCCTTTGTACATAAGATCTTGAGTTAAACAAAATCTGTGTTGGGGATTCAAAGATTTATAATGAAATTTTTATAGTTGAATAGTATAAATATTTCTATTTTTTTAGGTAACATTGGCAAAATCACCTACCTGCTACATCTAAATTTACAATTTTACAAACTTAAATAAAAAATTCTATTTTTTATATCAAAAAAAAATTGTTGATTTGTTTGTTTGTTTTCCTTTGTCCTGCTTTCATGCAGCCTGGGATAGACTTGATTTTTCTTATCTGTAGTTAAAACCAGAAGTTACCAGAGAGCTTTTACTCCCATGAGAACATTTTCTTGTGGCTGGCTGGCACTGGCACTGGCAATAACTAGTAAAACAAAAGTTTTGTTACTACTATTTATTGACTTAACAATTTTATACTTTTCAGCTGTGCCGCTTAACTATCAATGCATGCAGATGAAACCACTTCATTACAAGATGAAAATCATGTGTAAGAAGATATGTTATTTGCGAAAAAAAGTACAATGTTTTAATGTTTTTTTATTTTGTTAGTTGATAATCTGTTTGATTCATTAAATGTTAGCAGTTTAACTGTTCAAAATGGTAAAATTTATAAAGGGCCTATTAAACGCAATTCACCTCATCATCAATTATGGCAAAAAGCTAAAGAAATATAAAAAACCACAAAATATATTAAGAAAGTTAGATTTGGAGATAAAACATGATTGACAGAAACTATTGCACCATCTATAACAAATTTAATTAAAACTTTAGAGGGTATAGAATCTCTTTGGAAGTTATTGTCTAGAAAATATGGCATTGATGCAATGTTGACAAAAAATTTCAACCAAGACCCTATAGAAAACTTTTTCGGGAATATCAGGAGTTATGGTGTTAGAAACATTGCTCCAAATACTGTCTCATTTGAGGGGGCCTTCAAGGCTTTGATGATAAATAATTATAGTGAGCCCCATTCAAGTGGAGCAAATTGTGAAGAAGATCACAATGAGTGTCTTCAAAGTTTGGACTTCTTCCTTAAAGATAAGAACATAATAACTCTTGATATCCCTGATACTAATGATACTATTCATTTTAACAGTGAAATTTGCTTTGACCAATCCAATGAAATTAACGCTGGTCAAACCAATTATGTCTGCAGATGGGTTTTAAAGAGATGCCTTAAATTTATAATAAAAGGTTGTCAACATTGCAAACAAACATTGTTTGAAAATGATATATCAAATGACAATAATTCATATATCTATGCCAAAGAGTACATGAATAAAAAATGGCTGTGCTATCCTAATAAAGAAGTGGAATCGTATTTCAAAGAAATCCAGGATATGACCACTTCTTTTTTTTTTAAATGTACCCAAAATAGGTTTGAAGAAAAATATTGTTTTGTTTCTGGACATGCTATGTGATTGTCCTTTTAAGTGTGTTGAACATAAAAATAAATTAAAAACATATTTTATAAATATGACAATCAATGTTTTAGTTTATAGTTGGTGCAGAAGTGTCAATCGTATTTTGAGCGGCAAATTAACTGTTAAAGATGAAGATGATGATGTCAAAATTGCAGCCCAAAATTATTTTAATAAGCACAAGAATTATAAAAATAGAAAATGACCTTTAAATAAAATTCTCTTTTCGAAAACGTAAAATAAATTCAACAAAATATATTGTAAGGTACTTTGGTGCCATTTTTATATTTTTGAATTCAGTAATTTTGTGGATAGTCACTGTCTGTAACAAGTATATCTTTGAGATGTCTAAAATCTTAGAGTAAAGCATTCAAAAAGTCTAGAAACCAAAAATCAAAATAAATCCGCGAAGAATCCGAAAAAATGTCTTATTTAAAATGTAAAATATTCGCGTAAATCTAAGAAAGTATAAAAAATGAGATGAAATTATTACATATAAGAATTATTGTTCAATAAAAATTATTCTGTAATAAATAAAATAATGATATGATTACTCAATAAATGACTACTCTTGCAGTTATTGTTTTTTCTTTGTTGGAACACTAGTATAGCATTACTAATAAATCAATGGTAAAATAAATAGATATAGGTAGCTATATAGCTACCTATATATAGCATTAGTTTTGGTTAGGAAATGCAGATGGCGTTTCAAATTGATTTGCATAAAAATCCTCAAGAGGGCACTCTTTTCCCAGTTTATAACTATACTCTTTGATTGTAACTTTTTGTTGTTTTTTATTGTCATCCATGTCTGACTTTGATTTAACTATTAACTATTTTAGAAGATGTTATTTGTTATCTATTCTTCTTTCGAATTTCGATGTTATTTTAATAATCACTAATCACTAGAGAGTAGTTATTGAATAATTTTATTTTTTCTTCACTTGTACTGTACGCTATACGCATTTGATTGTATCGATTAATTTGATGAAGTGCGAGTGTTTATATTATTAAAACATTATATTTGCTTTTATAACTACATACATTATTTAGAGTTTAGACTGCGTAGAAATACTGAATACTACATGATAAAATAATTTTAATAGTAATCAAATATCCATTATGGAAAAGGATAATACTGTTTTAACTATACAATGCTTACCTGACGAAATAATTTCATTGATTTTAATAAACAATGAACCTCGTGAAATTATTAACTTTTCCCTTACGTGTAAACAGTTTCATGATTCTGTTTGCAACAATGATTATCTCTGGAAAATGAAATATTCAGAAAAGTGAGTTCTTATTTTCTTGTAAATTGAAGTGTTTATTATGTTACTCGTCTTTTGGGAATATTATATTTCTATATATTATTTAACTGAATTAAACAAAAATGATTATCAATTTTTTATTCAGAGTACCCAGAGTAATGCTAAAAGTGATTAAAGATCATTGTGATAGTAAATGGCGAAAGGAATTTATCCATTTGTGTAAAGTTCGTAAGAAAGTTTATAGTGAACTATTGTCTATGTCCCCAAAGTTTTATTGGTGAGTTCTAATTTCTTTATTATTATACATATTTAAATAAATATGAGAGTATGTCTGATATGTGCAATGTGCAGGACTTTTGTGTTATCTTCATTTCATAGAAATTAACCTCTGTTGAATTATTTCAGGCGATTTAATACAGTGTCACTAGAAGATGTGAGACCTTTCTTTTTAATTGCAACAGAACATAGTTTGAACTATTACTATATAATTTATATGTTGCAAGATATTATAAAAAAGGGAAAAGATTATTTGGATAACTTTATATGCTCCAAGTTAGTACACTTATAAATTCTATGATTGAGTATTTTTTTAAATATTATGATCAAAAAATTAACACTTAAAAGTAGCAGTTTATGTATAAACAAAAATTGTTATTGAATTTTATTTCCTTAAATTAATATTATTATCTTATGCCACCATTACAAATTTTTTTAAGAAATATTTTTCTTTTTTAGACCCCTCTACACAATGACTGTTATGTTTTATTCAAAAATAGTTCTTCGTCATTTAGTGCAAACTTATTTGGCAATACAATGGGTGCAACTACATATGAAACATAAATTAACACCAGAGAAAGTTATAACATTCTTTTTACAGTGGATTGACCCTACTAGAATTTATGATCTTGATGAGATTGAGAATAGGGTAAGAAGAACAAGTGGAAATTTTAGATTGTCACTTGACAGTATCACAGATCACATAATACTATTTCATTTGAACTCAATTTTCTTTGTTCCTGATGAGACCACATTCCCGACCTTGTTATAAGGCCTCATTAGGAACAATATTTACTTTGTTACTTAAAATTAAAAAAGAGTATTGTCATACTTTTAGAGAATTCTAATTTTATTTCTTAATATTGATTCTTTTTCAGATTCAAGGATTGGTGAAAAAAGTAGAGAATATATTAAAGGAGCAATCTAAAAATGCAAAAACTACACCAGTACAAGTTTATACTGAAAAACAAGTGTTGCAAGCTATATCTCAAGTGATCTATAAACATGAACGTTTCTCTGTAGCTTTTAATGTGAAAACTAATAATTTGGATGTAGCGAGGGTATGGATACTACAATGTTTTCTTTCCGTAATATTTGTGTTAAATACTCTTATGTACTTATTTTTTCTTAATTTACACAGGTAATAAAGGATAGTCATGGCAACATTTTTACGTTTGGTGCCATTTATCAAGCCATTGCAGAGAGATTTGGGATAAATTGTGAGCTCAAAGTATTTCCAAACCATTTATTTTTGGATTGGCGAAATAATGAAGAACCAAATAAGCCATTATACACTATAGACCTTCTTACTGGAGAGTTGAAGCCAAAAAAGCAATGTCCTTTTGCCCGTACATCTGGTTTCAGTGACACAAAATATTGCCCAGATTCATTACTGCAGTACATCTATTCTTCATACATGAAATCAAAAGCACCAATAAAAAATTGGTACAATATTTTCTATATAGTATGTATATGAATTGATTTCTTAGAAATTGAAAAACAATTAAATAATTATTTGTTTCAGCCAAACACAAAATGCTATACATCTATTGGATTTCCTTGGAACTTGTGAAAGTAAACATAATCCATACAAAAATTTCCTATTTTATTTAGTGGAGAATGCTAATTCACCAGCTATGAATACAAAATTAAATTTGAAATATGTAAGCATCATTTTAACTTTCTACAGGAGGGTAAGGTATAAGAAAGTTGGGTGTTCATTATTATTTAGAGGTGAGGAGAACTACGTTGAACTGTAGGGAAAAAGATGGTTCAGAGTTATTAAGAGTCATTTTATAATGTATTAAATACATATGAATAGTTATTGCGAGTGTAATATAGGAGAAATTCTTATGCTATTGCAGATTTTTCTGTAAGCCTTATGAAGACCTACAATTTTCTAGTACATTGTTATTGTTTTGATCTCTCTTAAGTATCTCTTAAGTACTTTCTTAGGCTTACGCGAATATTTGACATCTATACATATAATAAAATTGTATCTAAGCCGAATCTGTATGTAAAATATTTTTTTGGAAAATCCTATTGGAATAGACATTATTATCGATACAGAGACCGAATGTATAGTTTTTAGAATTTTTGTCTGTCTGTCTGTCTGTTACCACATCACGGAATAACCACTGGAGGGATTTTGATGAAATTTGGTATGATGATAGCTGGTTGTCCGGGTCAACTTATACTTTTATACTTTTTACCGCGGGAAAATATCTTATTTCTGGGAAAGAAAGCGGAGCTGCGGGCAAAGCTACTTTTAAATAAAACTATCTTTTTAGATTTTTTCGCAGACTTATTTTGATTTTTGGTTCCCGACGTTTCGAATGTTTAACAGTAATCGTGGTCACGGGAAAGGCTAAAGTGTTAAGCCTGGCGTCAACTACAGCAGAAACGCGTCTAATCGAGGCGAGTCGATTCGAGTCGCATTTATTCCTGGTGCTTCCATTTCAGCCGAATCGAATCGAATTACTCATTTATCGCAACTCGTCAGCAAACTAGACTTCTTAACTCTAAAATTAAGTATAAACTATACAGATAGATTAAATTGAAGTGTCTGTTTGTAACCTCAAAATAACAGTTTTTTACTAAATGAACATGAACTATATATGCTGCTTATAAGATTTTTTTTTTTAATTTTGATCTTTCTGACTTTGACTGGCAGATAGCTGATGTTATAAGGAGTACTTTTATTTTATAAAACGAATTAGGGTTCCGCTAAAATATTTAAAACGTACTTAGTAACGAACCCGAGCGAAGTGAGGGTAAATCTTTAAGTATACAGTATAATAGTATAGTTATACTATAACATAATAGTTATTTATTGTTTCTTTTCACGAAACATAGGTAGGTACTCTTTAAATAAAATACAAAAAACTCGCCGGTGCGCATGCGATTCCCCGCGTCGATTAAGGCGTGCCGAATCGAGTCGAAACGCGTCGCCGAAGAAATTCTCCTGACGAGCAATGCACACATTAGAGATTCGATTTGGCACGCCGCGACTCGTAGCGTGAATTAATACAAAAATTGAAAAATGGCACCAAAGTACCTTAAAATATTTTATAATTTTAAACATTTTTATAATTTTAATTCGTTTAAAACTAATTATGCTGTAGAGCATTTGAAACTTCGGGAACCAAAACTTCACGAAAAAATCCGAAAAGATAGTTTTACTTAAAAAGTAACTCTTAAGGTTTAGCCAGCGTTAGACATGTAAATTTCTAACAACAACTCGATATCAACAAGCTATTATGTTTTCATGTGGGAATGAAAGATTTTCCTGTAGTAAAAGGTATCCTAAATGTTAACTCACGTAATAAGTTATCACTACACAAAATTTAGTTAAAATCAGTTCAGTACTTTTTGTGTGAAATGTGTACACACAAACAGACAAAAATTTTAATAGCTATTTTGCTGGGGTCTATATTCTGTACACAATATGCTACAGTCACTGTTCTTGAAAAATATGTCATGTACAAGTTACATTACTATTTTATTATATGTATAGATAATAATAACTAACCAGCAAATCGAAGGTTTTTATTATTTATTGATATTTACTTTCATGTAATGCTGGTTTTATATTTATTTAAATATTTCAGATGGATGAATCACATCTACAGATGATACTGTCGCTGTCCACCTTAAATGAACCTCCACAAGAGGTATATCAAAATGTATGTATTTTTTTTAATAATATGTTATTTAAAGCTGTATTAAGTTATACTTGTAGCTTAAATAAATTATACGTCTTATTAACATGAATAACAATGTATGGTGGCTGCGATGCCAACTAGCGTAATTAGTCGTTCGATTAAAAGCCTAGTCTCTTAACAAAACGGCGCCGTTCTATTAGTGGCCTGTATAATACAATATTTAATGAATGAACATTTTATAATGAAAATTTCATAGAATAGAGTGACCGTGTGACAAAAATATATGAATTTGAGAATTATTTATGTAAAGTAATTAAATCAACAGTTTATCGCATGGCTTACTCGGAAAAAAGGGTAGGTTTGGTTAGAACTGAGACTACAATGCCAAAAACGAGTAGGACTAAAACCATTACGTGTCAGGTGAGTAATATATGACACGTTAAATACATCGTAATAACATATAGTCCAGTCACTGGGTGGTTCTGACTGACAAAATCTCCAAGAGTGTTCTAATTTGATAGTGTGAAAGTTTGGTGTCCTAATTAATATTCCGAATTTGCGACCTTGAGGGACCGCCGCTCGCATCTTCTTCCAACATCCGCATCTTCCGCATCTTCTCTCCAGCGTCATCTCGGTTATAAATGGTCATTGCAAAAATATAGAATAAGAAATTTCCTGCAGCTTTTGTGGGAAACGGTTTTTGATCAGATAAAAAGTTCATAAGTTACAGCGAGGTCAAGCTCAGCACAATTTACAAAATTGCTACATTTTTCTCGAGTTTTCAGTGCCTTTATACCGATTACTTAAACCGTACTACTGTTATTTACTTATTTCCATACATCATCATGAGGTAAAGTGAAAAACACTTTTTTTTTCATGTCGTACTCCAATAGGCCTTAGCTAGCGCACACTTGACATTGTACAATAATTTGTATACCAATAAGATTCCACGTTGATTAAAATATTGGCTAATTACATTTTACCTTTTTATTAGGGTTAGAAGATTTATTTTCTACAGGTTTCATTCTTTATATTTCACTAAAATCAGTTCTTAATTTAGAATCACGCATTTGTTTAATATTTGTATTTATAGCTTTAAACGTCTTATGGATATATCAAGTTTTTATTTGATTTTTTTCGTATATCTGTTTTTGATTCATGTAAAATTTTAAAAAACATGTGGTTATTAACGATTCGTAAGAGATATCTACCAACTTTAAAAAAGGAGGAGACATCGAATCCTGGTGTATGCAGAAATAGTGAATCGTTTTTATTGTTTGTCCCAGTATATCTATCCTTCAAGTTTTTTTATTTCTTTTTTATTAAAAAGTAATTATTTATCTCTAGGTCGTAGTTAAAGAAGCTCGTACGGCGGACGTGGCAATATTTGCAGTGGGCATGACTTGTTACCATAAATTGTACCACTATATGTGCATAATCCGCGACTGGGAGGCCAATGGCATGCACCTGCCTCTGCGTTCAGAGGAACATCTGCAGCACGGAAAGAATCAACCTTTCTACCGTGTTATTGCTGGTGATCAATCTGAAAGGTTCATTGCTCATGGTAAGAAACTTAAAATTGTCCCAAAAATATATTATTTAATTTTTCTGTAGATGACTGTATGAATTAATAGACTGTGGTAGTATGCACTATGCAGCAACAAACATGATTTTTTTCAATTTTAAATATTAATTATTCTTTAAATTATACTTACATATAATGGTCAAAATGTTTAATGTTATCTTTTAATTACAGAAAACCTAACGCTAGTGAACTCGCCCTATCGCAATCGTCTCTTAGAGGACAACATCGCTAGTGAGTTTACGCATTTCGAGGGCTTCTACTATGTTCCTAATGACGAGAAATTGGCTGAATATCCGAATGACATAGTTGTCGCTGAAGCATTTAAAAAACGTTGCACGGTCAACTAATGGTGTAACAAAAAAAACTCTTTTTTTCATTATCTTGAAAAAAAAATTATATGAACAAAAACTTAGTACCTACCATTGTTTTTCCAACTTGTATTTTTTTTTCAGAAAAAAAAATCTGAAGGATAATAAATGTTTTATTGAGGTATATTTCTCTAATTTCTTACATTTTACTAAAATTACAAATCGAATTAAGTACATATAATAAATAAATCAATTAAATAAAAATTTATTCTTCCTGTGTGTCAATGTCAGTACCACTTCCAGTGCGATGTATGGTCTAGTCTTGTCCTTGTCAGTGTCGGGATTTTCACTTTCTTCTATCTCTTCTGTATCCTCTAGACTAGCATAACTTGATACGTTGTAATAATATACTTTTACTGGTTTGTTTGTGGAACTCTTTAGTAATAATCTTTTACGGAAAGTACCTTACTAATTTTGAATTCTGTACTCTTGAAAAGACATGCTCTAGTAAAAAAAAGTTTTTTTTTTTCATATATTTTTTTGTTTTTTTTTTCACGATAGAAAGAAAAAATGTTTTTGGGACACTATGGTCATTGGTCCACTCTAAAATATCGCATATCTATATAAGAAAAAGAAATGCATATTTCTATAAAAAATATGGTTGGTGGTGGTAGTTAATGTCTGTTTTATTAATGTTATATTAATAATAATTTATATTAATCTGTAAAATGATATAAATATATTTGGTAAGTATACCATTTATAAACAAAAGATGTTACGTAAAACAAAATTCAGTTACATATTTATCTTTTTATATGTTACATGTTTATTAATATTATCCCTAATCTCGATTAGTGGATGATGACACTGTTTTTCTAGTAATAAAATCCTGTCCAAAGACAGCATAAATGCTGTTTGCTTTATATTTCATAATCAACATGATTTATTAATGTTATTATTAGGTACTTCATTGTTATATGCATTTATATTTTTTCATACATATTTTGGCATCTTTTCCTATATGTCTGTTTCTGTATGTATGTCGCATTAAAATGACATATGTACATAACTCAAATATTGAGTAGATCGTCCAATGTCTCAAATATCGTTGTTCGTAAATATTCATTCATTCCATAACTGTATATGAATGTAGTAGTTAGTATATGTGTAGTAAATATATCTTAAGTGGAGTATATAATTTATAAAGGATATAGAAATAAATAAAGTGGTTTTCAAAGTTAAATAATTCTTTTATTCAGAGGCGGCTCTAGTCCATATAGCGTCCGTGTGCAATCAATAGGCGCCACAGACAATATAACCTAAAGACGACGCATAACGCATTACTGGGGATATGTTTTAGCCAAGGTTTGGCAGTGACACTGCATAACAGCCGGCCCCGCCAGCCGTCACAGCGATAACATTGTCCGAGTTACTAGTTATAATGCCCTATTGTTCAGTGAAATGGTGTGGAAAGTGTAGTACAACGTCTAGTCTAACCCAAGATGGTATTACATTTACAAAAATATAATAATTACCCAGAAATAAAATATAAAAAGAGCTCGCGTTGATGTCTTTTTAGTTTTTGCACATCCCTTTCTTTCATAGATAAATTCACATAACATTATCTCGCTCTGTCATTAGCACGTGTAAACTAGTGATGAGACACAATGTAAACATAAAAATTACGTTTATCGAAAAACATAATTATTAAGACGTGATATTCGTACAGCAGTCTAATGTTGTCTGTCTGTTGTTTTTTCCCAACTACTGAAGGGAGGGTAATGTGTTGGCTCTTATGTAAACCAAGATGCCGTCCAATGTATTTTTCTTCAAAAACATTGAGTTCCTTAATTAGCGAAGAATTATTTTCCGATTTACTGCAGCATTAGTTTGATTATGAAAACGTCAATCATTTAATTGACTTAATAAAATGCGTAATTGATAAATATATTGATATACGTCTGGCTTACTTAATAAAAAAATCTGAATCAAAATCAATAAGAAGAGTTTATACAAAATTAATACAATTTAAGGGTCAGTAGTCGATATTACATATACATACACGATTTTAATTTAATTGCAGTATCTGCCACAACGCCAAGCGGCCAAAGAAATTTTACTTCAACCGCGCGTAAAGGTTACACGCGCTCATACTTTTTATGTGTATAGATAGCGACTTTCTAAACAGGCGTAAATAATCTTGATACACCTAACAATTATTTAAAAGTGTGTCCCCTAGCTCAATAAATTCGACTAAGAATTTTTCTTTTTCTAAGCTTATAGAAAACCATATGTACAGTAGCATAGCCTAGCCTTTTGAAAAAGATACAATTGGATATTGTATTGTGTTCAGCCCTTTTTAATGCCCCATGTAGAAATCAAATTAATTAATATTAATATTCAATTGTACCAGCAGAGGGCACTAGGTACAATATTGAAAAAATATATATATAACTAATTATTGTGTATATAATATATAATAGTACATAACGTCGATATTATAAATTACATAATAAATATATAATAATTGTAAATAAAATTTTGCTCAATGCCACCTTGAAAAAAAAACACTTCTCATATTTTCTGCTATTGAGTTGGTATACTTGCGCGCATCACGCCATGAAGCTGAAAGCAGTACTTTTTATTTGTTATCCATGGCAGTACTTTTCAAATGCTCGATTGAGCGGAGCGTTGCTGTAGTTGAAACATTCGAAGTTAGCATTATGCCACATAATGCGCTTAAGTACTCTAATTGGAAAACAGGGTCTATCTAGTATTTATACAAACTGTAGTCACCAACGCTGTCAATTGGCGGGTAAATTACTTGAAAAGAGGGTAATTTTAGTCGATTTTTGATGGCGTAATTTTGACGGGTATTTTCATTGAGCGGGGTCAAAGCAGGTATTTTAGTTTAGCTGATTAATTGATATTTTGAGTTTTTTTTTACTGTTTAATTTCATAATTTAATACTGTATAGTTGAGAACTAATTACAATGCCTTCTTTTTCTAATATTAGTACTTTATTTTATTCTATAGAAAACATGAATTAATTACTTAAAAAAAAACTATTTTCGGGTATTCTGCTCATGGTTGGCGCCGGATAAACCGGTTGTTTTGAGGTTTATTGGTCGGGTAAATCAATGATTGTTATCTGTCAGCCCTGGTTGTCAGTTGTCACTTGTCTGTTTTATTCATCCATGCTTGTCTGTTCTCTGTTGTTTCAAGTTTGTATTTTGCAGCTTTGCAATTTTATGAATGAAGAATCGGTATTCGGTACCTATGCTTATTGAAGTTTTGACATTGATTAAAAAAGGCATGGTAAATTTAAAATCGTAATGTCATTGCTTACTATTATTGCCATCCATAAAATCACATCTATAGGCTAAAGAATTAACTACATGTAACTAGGTTATAACGAACAATAAAATTAAGGTTAACTTTGAGAAGTTAAGATAATGGAAAATAGCAATAAAATAATTCCTCCTCATTTAAATGCAGAAGTTTATCGAACTGATACAACTGGGACTAGCACACAATCATATCTCGATTATATTCGTCTTCATCCTGGTAAATATTCTCTTTTATAGATATTAGTTGTAATATAATTAAATTTAATTAGGTTTATTAACTCTGTATAAACAAAGTAAATATTTTCAGATGGTACGAAATTAATAGGATGCTCAGAACTTACGGGACGATACTGGAATGGAGGTGCGACCATATTAGAAAAAAAGACTGATGAAAATAAATCTAACATATCAAAAAAAGATATTTACTTAACCAGTGGCAGTGCAGATGGATGCTTTATTGAAAGTTCTAGTAAGGTATAGAGTTTTAATAAACATACAGAATTTGAATTGTTAATTTTCTTTAGTTTGATATATCATTGCTTAAAAAGATTACTTAAATGTATTTATATGAAATATATATGTATATATATTGAAAGCTTAATTGAAATTTACTTTTCTATAAAAGAATTTAACTATTTATTTGTGTTTTTAATAGGTGCTTCTGTGTGAAGATAGTGGTACAATTAGCATGTGGTCATGTAAACAGGATGATGCTTGGAATTTATGGAACGAGGATCAGTCTGCAGCTGAGCATGATGATGCTATATTAGCTATAGATTGCCTTGACCAGGATAAAGAGTATATAACTGTTAGTGCTGATGGAAACATAAAGGTAGCTAGATTCATAATTTTTTAAATGAAAAATTACACTTTCTTCAAATGTATATTAAATTTTATAAAAAATAATTTGCAATATCTATTGTAGAATAGGTAGACAAAATGTTGTTAGCTATATCATCAAATATTTCAGAAGAGGTGCTACTCATACACTTGTTAATGACCATTTGGAAACTGCAAATTTTTTCTATTAGAGAATGTTTATATTGGTTTTATATCTATATGTAGTTAGTTTCCTTGTACAAAAGCAATAATATTGCTGGCCTATTTTACATGATTTTTATTATGTTACCACTCTTCAAGACTCTTTTTCAATATTAAATTGCAAGAAAATTATTGTTAACTAGCTCACATCCCCACCTCCAACAGACCTGATTAGTGCACCCATATGCATGTTATTAGCTCAGTTTTATTTTAATATTGTTTGTTAAATAATCTATGGAAGGCTCTTAACTATCTTTTCGAATTTTTTTACACATTTGTTGTGATTTTTGGTTCCTGACATTTTGAATGCTTTATAGCAGTTGTGGTCAAGGGAGAGACTAAGGTTTTATATGTCTCAAAAGTTGTTACAGACAGTTCCTAACCATAAATTACAATTATTTAAAATCCGAAAAGATAGTTTTATTTATAATATCATATATTCACACAAATCAAAAAAAAATGTATATATAATGCTAAATGGTTCAGGGCCTCTTAAGGGTAAAAAATATATATTTTTATATAAATATACTTTGCAGGTGTGGGATATTGTAGATCTTTTTTGTATAAGAAATTACATAGCAGCACATAGCAAGGCAATTCATGGAGTTTCAGTTAGACCTTCTTCTTTGTCAAGTTTTGTGACTGGTTCATTAGATTATTATATATATTTGTGGGATGAAAATGTTGAAAAACCAGCTTTAGGTAAATATTTTTTTCTTATATTTTTAGCTTTTTAGATTCCTTATATAGTTTATATAAATGTATTCCTTTCTAACTTATATGATTCTAACATTTCACTAATTTCCTTATTTATTTGCTTTATGCTTAAATATATCTCTTACAAAAATAATGTGGTCTATACTTCATTAATATGTAAATAAATAGAAAACTGTTTGTTACAGATGTGTTTGAGAATAACTGTGGTGTCCGATGCTTGCAATGGCTGAATGAAAATAGCATACTATTTGGAGATGAAGCTGGAAATCTAAGCTTGATTGATATTAGAAAACCTTTAACTTCAACAAATCTTACTGAATTTCCTGCTGCTGTTCATAAAATATCTGTTGCACCTCAGTAAGTTATTTAATTTAAAAAATCTTATAACATTTCAGCGAATATAGATGTTATTTAAAAAAGTTATTAAATTATTTTAATTTTTCCAGTTAATTTACAGTAATTTATTAAAGAAACATAAATTCTATTTTTATTGTCATTATATCTTCTTTTGCTTGAGACCTTAATAAGTTTTTCAAATTTCACCTCGAGTCCTGAAACATTGTATTATTATAATGTAGATATAAAACATTATAACTATAATTTAAAATTTTGTTTTCCCTTCAAATTTTTTATTTGTTATTGGAAAACTTATCTTTTTATAAAATTAATTGAATGTAATCTTATGCCTTTTCTTAATTTTCAGATCTAATCTTCTATCAGTATGCTGTGATAACAAAATTGTGTCAGCTTTTGAAATTAGTGATGACTTAAAATTGAGTTTGCGTTATGAAAATAGAAATTTGCATAGTAATTTTGTAAGGGGAATGGCATGGGATACAGAGGATAAAAATATTTTACACACAGTGGGTTGGGATGGAGAAATGAAAAGCCATGTATTAGTCTAATTAAAAATGATGTATGGTAAATAAAAAGTTTGTAAAGAATTTTTGTGTTATTTCCATAATCTACATTCCCATACTTAATTATAAAACCAAAAGATATACATATGTAGATAAAAGATATGGTAACAATTCTGTTTTTGCGAGCTTACAACCACTACCTGCCCTGTTCATCACCACTCATACTGCTTAAAAATAGTATTATACTTTTTACAAGAACAATCTCCCTTTATATAATAATAAAAACATTATTTAAAAAAATACAATTTTTGAATTCTAAAATAGTTGCTGAAATAGAAATCTGTTTTTTTCAATTACATTTTGTAATTTTAAGAGAGGATTTTAAACAAGGAAATATAACTCAAGCTAATCTCGAGTAGAAAATGACACTATTCATAAAGCCCGATCGATTTAATTATTTTAATAGATATTATCATAAAGACTTCTCACTTTGGGTATATTTTAAAATCCCCGGAAAAAGAAAGGACAGAAAATTATGAATATAATAATACAATAGATCAGCTATTATTATAGTTATTTTTATATATATATATATTAGAGTGTGCCAAAAAATGACGATATTTTGAAGTGAAACTTTAGAATCGTTGTGATTTGAAACTCGATGCAACGGAAATGCGACAGTAAAAAGAGACAAACATATAAATATATAGGATTAAGCCGGCGATAGAATGAGATAGAATACATTGCGATGATGCCATGGTAACCGTTGTCATGGTAACCGTTGTTATTTGATAGAATACATTACACAGCAAGTGAAAAATAATAAAATTCATTACTGATTATTATGCAATGTTTATATTTATGTCAAATAAAATGTAAAATAACTTTTAAACTTGGTAAAAATAATATAAAAAAATCCTTATGATTATCCTACTCCTGATACTCTATATTCATATCATTTTCTGAAGTTTCACTTCTACGATGTGTGAATTGCACATTTTTTTTTTCTTCGCTCTCACCCCAAATATCTTAGAAAATGTCCCAACAAAGCTCCTGTTAAAAGCGGAGCTCAAAATTCCAATTCTAAGAGGTTCTCCATCGAACTTTAAGTTTTCCCATACATATTGTATGGAAAATATGTTTTGTAAAACTTTTTGGTCCTGCAAACTATGACGTAAATATTTTTCAAAAAATTTAATGAATGGACCGTTTTTACTATTAAATTTACTACAAAAAAAGTTCCATTGAGTCGAATTTCTACCTTTAATATTGTATTTGTTATATAGCTTTAAAAGTTCAAATTTATAGTTTTTTGCATTTTTTAGCTAAACTGCAAAAGTTACAGAAAAATGTTAAATGACAAATTTGTAGTACGTTTGAAATACTATAACTAAGTCTTTGGCAACTTTTTCATATCATCAATAACAACAAAGTTACAGGCTCACGAATATTTATGTTTTGAAATTTTTGCTCTATAATATATAAATATCGTCATTTTTTGGCACACCCTAATATATATATACATTTCTATGATCAGGATGAGATAAGATTAAATACTTTTGATGAGATGCGATTTTTAAATATTTATCTAAGTACATTAAATATATATGTGCTCTTTGAAATGAAAAACATTTTAAATGCTCAGACAGTTATTTATTGATAGATTATTAGGGATTCAACATTTGGTAGGCAAGCACGGTCAATTTGCGGAGGGCGAGGGCACGCGACGTTCTGGGGAAACACCTGGAGAAGACCCGCGTCTTCCTTGGCTGGGGCTTTTCAGGCGCACCTTTGTGTCTAAGTGGCGAAATCTGGAAAGAATTACCATAACATCTACTTTGTTGTTATAAAACATTCTGCCAGTTTTTGTAAGTTAGATTTTGGAGGCTTTTCTTAGATATCTTTAAAAAAAAACAAACACTAATACAGAATAATATAATTGAAGTCACAACTTTTCATTCAAATTAAAAATGTCTGTTTTTATCTATTGTAACAAAATAAATTATTTCGATGTAAATAAGACGTGTTAATGTACATAGTACATACCTCAGTGGCAAATCATTGGTATCATTATCAACACTTTGAAAGAAGAATGCCAGCGGCCAACTTATCCAAGAAGATTGTTTCCTGAAAGTAAAGTTATGTAACTATGAATGTATATTAACATATTTTGAGCCTTCACGTGTGTTACTTAAATTTTTTGTAGGTACGTATAGTTAAATTAGGATAATTTGACTTTATATTCAAACAAAATAAGCTGAGTAGAATGATATTTCCGTTTTTTCAACAACTTAAAAGAGATGTGGTTAAATTTAAAAATAATAGACTAGTCTAGAGGCAAACCGTCGCTTCGCTCGGGTTCGTCCCTAGGTACGTTTCAATGGTTAGTATGGAACAGATAGACTATATATATTACATAGGCATGATGTTGCTGTGGGTTGTATTAAAACGTGTTTTCCCGTGGGAATGAGATAATCTCCTGCGATAGAAAGTAGCCTATGACATCCTCCAGCCCTCCCAACTATCTCCACACAAAAAATCTTTCCAGCCGTCACTCTGTTTCGACGTGAAAGAAGGACAATCAAACAAACACACTTTCAGATTTATAATATAGGTATATATTATTATGGATTATATAGTTTTAAGCGCCATTACCTTATACGTTAATCTGCGACCAAAATGTAGAGTCTATAGAATTATTGAATGTTTTATAATGTTCTAGTTGTAATTTTGTTCTAGGCAGTTCCACCTTTTTTCTTGTGGTCTTGATAGGGTCTCAAAATTTGGATTGGATTTGATTGTTAAAGTTAATAAGATTTAAATTTAAATCCGAAATCAGAAAATATTTCTAAACAACGAATAAAGTATTTCTATACTCAGTATACCTACATAATATATAAATAGGTATAATAAATACACGGAGTACATAGGTATGTATAAAATATCTTAAGCAATTGAGTATAAAATTTTTAAATAAAACTATAACTTTTCGGATTATTTCGCGGATTTATTTTGATTTTTGGTTCCCGACGTTTCGAATGCTTTACAGCAATCATGGTCACGGGAGAGACTGAGGTGTTAGATGTCTCGAAGGTACAGTTGTTACAGACAACCTACCCACAAATAACAAAATGACAACAAAATCCATAATAGATATTATTAATTAATACTTACGGACTGGATGGCACAAGATGTATGGAGCCAGCTTCGGAAGGTCTTACGGGCATAGCTGCAATAGGGCTGCCGGCGCCGATGGGCACCGGCGGTGGCGTCTTGTTGATTGCCGGGTTGTAAATCTTCGGGTCGCTCACCATGCGCACAAAGAATGAGCGCCTGTGGGCGAGTGCTGCCCGGTTCCTTCGTGCTCCTTCCTCGTCCAAATCCTAAATCATTACAATATAACATTACTTCTACTTCTCCTCCCTGCCCATTTCCCAATCACTTGGGGTTGGCGCAGTACATCTTCTGTACTGCTGATAGGATTTGGCAAAAGTTGTACGACCGGCCGCCTGCCTGACGTCAACCCTCCTTAAGAATGCTATTGTCTCTCTTTGTCTGAATGGTATCGCGGAAGTCTTGTAATATGTTATAATTTTGTTTTGACGTTGTCAAATTTTTTCTAAATTAAATTTCTAAATATAAGATTACTTATTATATTTATTATAATACAATATAAATATAATAGAATAATCATCATATAACAAACATACTAGCATATAAATTTTACAATTAGATGAATAATTACTAAATTATATTATTAGATAAACCCGGGTTTTGGTTACACCTTGGAACACCTTCACCTACCTATATTAATAAAAAAAAAGGAACCGCCAATATCGAAACCAACATAGTGAGGTTCATACAGGGTGCTTGTTTGTGTACAATGAAATAAACAGAATTTTAATAAATTTGTACAAGTCTAATTAATATTTACTTGAATACCTAAGAATTTTATTTATTCAGAAATACATGCACACTTTCTGTGGATAATGATTTATCAGATGGGACAGAAATTAAATATAGATTTTAAATTGAATAATTTGTGCTGAAATTTTTTTAACTATCAATCTAATATACGCTAAAGAAAATAGAAATCAACTAGTAAATAAAATGAGCTACGAGAACTAAAGGCGCGTTTGTAAAACGGGTGATTACTTTACTTTTCTGTGTGAAAAAGCGAATTTACCTGCAAAAGGGACAAAATATGATAACGACTAATAAATTTCGTCGATTCTCATATAGTGTAGAATTAAAATATCGCCAATATATTGATTTCTGATAGCAAATATTCACCGAAATTACACTTGATCAATCCCTTTTTAATTTAATTAATTGGGGTACCGTTAAAAATTATGTAAAAAAAATATATTATTTTATTTTCATTCAAAATTACGATAGTTACATTGCGAAAATGAAAATTATTTATTACAATTTTATTGTATTTGCTACATATCCATGTGTAAATGTATTAGGTGTCCAAAGTGTGTGAGCCACATTAGTCCGTCTTGCCAGAAACCAAATCTTTTCACTATTAATGTCTTTTACGACACGTCATATGTCATTGAAAGGGTGTATTTTGTCAGTTTGTTTGTTTTGTAAGTTTGAAAGACTAATTTCACCTTGGGAACCTTGGGAATGGTGAGCACAAAAATAGGCAGATTGGAGCTCAAAAAAAACCTGGAACCTCAACCACCTCTCACGTCATATCAGTTATAACATATTTTTTACATAACAGTAGAAAAAAATCTTATGAATGAAATTCTCAGCTCAAAAGCTGCTGCATATTAGAAATAGTAATAGATGAGAAATTTTAAATGCGTCATAAAATCACTTGACTCATTTCAAATTTTTTATTTAAGGTATAAAAAAAAATACAAAATAAAAAGAAATTAAATTCTTATAAAATAAACATTGGATACATAATAATCATAAAGAAAATGTTAACAAAATTAAAAAAAAGATCACTTTAAGGTTTTAATATCAATAGGATGATTAAAAATAAAATCAATAGGATAATTAAAAAATAAGAGAAATGCAACGGTTACGTTAGGTACGTAATAAATGCTGTTTACGTATAGTTGATATGATTGCAGCTTCGATGTTCGCAGTAGGGATGTCTGCACCTATGACGATCCAGTTAAGACGCTAGTCGAAGAAAACATCCAGACTGGCATTATTCTCCGACTGACACACCAAAAGAAATTGTTTAACAAAGCTAAAGGGGTTTTCTTTGATTCTAATATTCGGATTTTGTATTCTATTTCCTGTGCCTGTTCTGAAGAAGCCTTAGATTGATGTAGATACGTTTGTATGTTTATAGTACATACCCTTTCCTTATCTGGTTCTTCCAATAATTCTGTCGCAAAGTCGGTTATTGTATCCCATGCAAATTCTGCAAAGATATATTTGAAAATAATAAATATGTAGGAAAGACTCTAATATATAAAGTTAAGTTATAAAAGCACAGAATTTCGACTCGATGATAAATACCTATATCTTCGCGAGTTGCATATTGGTGTACGACGCAAAAGCGAATAACAAATCTGCCGCGTAATGAAGTCGGGACCATATGAATTTTTCCAGATGCGTTAATATTGGTCAACAGTTTCTTGTTTAATTTATCAACTTGCTCATCCGTTTCACCAGGTCCTCCAACTAGCCGGAAAACAACTAACCCCATCTAAAATGTAGAATATACTAAATAATAAGAATAAGAATACAATAAATTAAAGTATGTATAATAGGTACATAATATGGTAAAAAAATCCTGCCTCAGTTCGTAATTTTTACAACAGTCTAACCAAGGCGTCTAGATAGACAGCGCACCCTACTGTTCTTGTATGTGTTCTTTTATATGCCAGTCGGGAAACGGCTTTAGGGTTGACGGGTGTAATTGCAACGGGTAATCTACCACGAAATAACATAGTAGGAGATTCCCATCTATGTGGTGGATCCCTCACTCATTTTCCAGGCGAATTATTAGTTGAAATATTTAAGGCGTAGTTGTCACCATAACCTACGGGTCTACCACATATGTATGTATGTCGGGACCCTAGACTTAGCGCTTTAACTTTGAAAGCGTTCAATATTAAAATTGGTATTATTTTGGCATATGGCATTTCCGTTAAACTCAATGATGATCGCCTACTATATTGATGTTTATACTGTGGTAACTACTACTTTACATATATATTACAGCCTCACCATCACTCTGCTCGGGTTCGTCTCTAGTTAAGATGTAACATTTAGTATAGGTATATTTCTCAAAGATGAGATATTTTCCCGCAGTTAAAAGTATCCTATATGTTGACCCGGATAACCAGCTATCATCATATCAAATTTCATCAAAATCTGTCCAGGGGTTTTCTCATGATGCGTACCCTGACAGGCAGACAAAAATTCTAAAAACTATAGATTCGGCATCTGTATCGGTAATAACCACTGTTTCAATAAGATTTTCCTAAAAATATTTAATGCACAGACTTGCTTCAGTTAGAATTTTATTATAGTATATTGATAAGAAAAAAAACTCGAATAATAATAATAGGTAGTAGTATTAATAATATTCAACTTATATTTTATCTGGCTTTGAATTTGAAAACAAATTTGCAAGATATTATTGTTTTTTTTTGTGTTCTTAGTAAACGACACTGGAATATAAGATAGACATATAAATTAAAATATAAATAAATTTTTGTGCATTTGAATTAGGTATTTTATTAATAAGTAGGTGGTGTAGATACATACCATAACTTGATTGCATATTTCAAATCTTTCATCTTTTTTAACTAGTTGCTCAAAATACTTAGCAAGCTCACAATGTAGTCGAACATATTTCTGTAAGCCAGATATGCCGTAGCTCCTCAACATAAACCACAGTTTGAGCGATCGAAAACGACGGCTGAGGGGTATTCCCCAATGCCGATAATCAATAGCAGTCTGATCGTGGACATGCTGTAGATAAAGTGGGTCCACAACAAGGGCCGATGTAAGTAAAATTCGATTGGTCACCCACATAAGAGAACAGTCAAAAGCAGTAAGCATAAATTTATTTGGGTTTGTATTGAAGGAATCAGCGTATTCAACTCCTGCCAAATGATGCTTGTGTTCTGGGCAGAGAAATGCACTTCCAGCATATGCAGCGTCTATATGAAGCCACACGCAAGGAAATTTTCGTACTACTGGCCCAATTTCAGACAAATTGTCGAAAGAACAGAGTCCTGTAGTTCCTAGAGTAGTTGATACGTAAAATGGCACTAAGCCTGCTTCCACATCTGCCTCCATAGCCTATAAAAAATGGAATTAGTTTTTATTCAAGGGTACCTTCCGTTAGCACAGAGAGTATATATATATAAGACAGAAAAAAACTGTATAGTATTAAATTGACTTCAAATTGAATTGAAACAATTTCTTTTAAAGATAGACACATTCAATCAAGAAAACTAATTTGAATCAGAACGGGTTTTATTTAAATCGCCTCTTTCTTATGAGGGTTGAATGATGAATTTTCAGTATTCGCGGTATAGAAAGTGCCGCACAATATGATGAAGCTCGCCACGTATTTCCGGAATCTACTGGCGATTCATTAAACGCCCGACGCGGAGGCGGCGAGACGTCGAGGTCTCAATTCGCTTTTGAAATTACAATTAAATTAGAATAATTACTGAATATTTTTCTTTTCATATTAAAATGTATATAAATATTAAAAAGTATTACGATGACTAACTATAATATATAATTGCAATATACAAAACGCTCGTAACAGGTCAGAACGATTTCGTGGCTAATTTACTTATTAGTATATTTTAAATAACTGTACCTTATTTTTTTAGTATATACGTATATTACTTTTACTATATATAAGTATTATACACATTTACTATATAAGTACTATACATTTTCGTTATTGAGATTTTTTATTAAAATATATTATGTATAATAAAAAACATATTACCAACTCAATCATAGTCTCACAATAAATCTATGAATCTTAAAATAGTCAAAAAATTACTTACTTCCCTTAAAGTGTCCCCTCTTAGACTACCATTCTCGTCAGGTTGTAAAATGCGAAGCTTAACAAAGCTCATCATAGCAGCTTTTTCAACGCAAGAGTGAGCTTCTTTTGAACAATACGCGATTAACTTAGACAGCAAGAGGCCCTCATCAACATTGGGAAATTGATTCTTCAATCGTTTGATGCCCGCAGCTCTCGCAGCTAGCATCGTCACAAAGACACACTCGCTAGCTGACCCCTACGATGACATAAAAAATGAACATCTATGAATAATTTAACTGTGGAAACTTGATTGATAGATTTGTTATTTAATTTTTATGTTTTATTTTCTATTGTATCATATCGAACTGTGTGTTTCCCAAATAAAAAAAATATACAAAATAATAAGATGTGATAAATTTAATGAAATCGTACTTAAGATAATTTTTAAATCCAAAAGAAATGGTTTTGTTAATGCTATAAGTAATTAATATAAAAGGTATTACCTCAATCACGCCACCGCCCTTGCTGCCCTCCCCATAAGTTAAAAAACCTGTAGGTAAGCCGATAGCTTTCCCTGAAAAAAAATCGTATGCTAAAGCTTCACTTGCATATATAATATAGAATATATAGAAAAAGAAGAAGTAAACATTGGCAATGTATTTCTTAATTTGGTCTCATTACATTTCTGTGATGACAATCTCAGTTTATTTTGTTCATCACAGAAATAGGAAACTTGTATAATTTATTTTAAAGTAAATTTAATAACTTTATTTACAAAAAAGAAAATTACAAATATACTTAATTATATATACAAAACATATGTACACTTAGTTATTACTGTACAAGTCATGTCCGCGTGGAATAGTGGCAAGAATGCTAGCCGCATTCCCCCATTAAATTAAAATATTATTTAAGTCGGAATATTAATATATATATAAGAGTACTTACCTATCCAATCTAACACAATTATTTCTAATTCAGTGAGAGCGGGGCCTGCCGCCTGAAACAACACATTTTACAGTTATTACCTTAAAATAACGGCTAATATGATTTTATATATTTTTTTTTGTAATTGTATAAAATACTAGCGACTCACCCTCGCTCTGCTCGGGTTCGTCCCTACTTACGTTTTAACGTTTAGTATAGATTTCTCAGAGATGAGATATTTTCCCGCAGTAAAAAGTATTCTATATGTTGACCCGGATAACCAGTTATCATCATACATCAAAATCCCTCCAGTGGTTTTTCCGTGATGCGGTCACAGACAGACAGACAGACAGACAAAAATTCAAAAAATAATAGATTCAGTCTCTGTTTGGATAATAATGTCTATTTCAATAAGATTTTCCAAAAAATATTTAACAGATCCGGCTTAGTTACAATTTTATTATATTTATTGATATAGGTACGTTTTAACAGTATGGAATAGATATATATTAGTAAATAAACATTATTATATTAGGTATAATGAGTTTTATGTCTCTTACGTACTTGAAATATTATATCCATATACAACTTTCATCTTCCTTTTCACTCACTTAAGGGATGATTTCCGGGATAAAAATTTTCCTATATCCTTCCTAGGGTCTGAAACTATCTTCATATCAAATTTCATCTAAATCGGTTCAGCAGACTTTAGCGGGGTTTATCAATTATAAACAAAAAATTACATTTTTTCCTTTATAAGACTACAATTTTTAGAACATCGTTTTGATGTGTCTCTTAAGGTTTAGCCAGTGTTAGCCATATAAATGTCTAAGGAAGAATCGATAGAACCAATTATTGTAATGTGTTTAACAGTGGGAATGATAGATTTTCCTGTAGTAAAAGGTATCCTTAATGTGGACCCAAGTTATCTCTACAAAAAATTTAGTTAAAATCAGACGAACAATGAACACCCAAACAGACAAAGACATTCAGACAAAAAATGTTGATAACTATTGTTTTGGGGTCTACATATATTATTATGTACACAACGTTAGTTATTGTTTTTAAATAATATTTCATTATGTACACATTTCGCTAAGTTACTGTTTTATTTTAAGTATAGGTCGTACCGTTTTATTATATGTATAAGTACAAATCATTTCCTACGTAACGGTAATTTATATATTACCTTTATTAATTATTTTATCTTATTATTTAAATATAATTCATTAACTTAATATGTCTTATTAATACAAAAAATATTTGATATTAACAATATCATGCAGTCTATATAATAAAAACAATCTACTCTATTGTACCTATATATGTATATAGTATCTAACTGACACAGCTTAAAACGCCATAACTTATTTAAAACTTCGATGTGTAGGTACAAAAGACACAATCAATATTGCTACAACTCTTGCGTCAAAAATAATGATATGATTAGTCTAAATTAAAAATGGATTAGTTCTAAAATAAAGAAGCTGTATTATAAATTAAAAATTAAACAAAACCCTACGCATATTAATTTGTCATTTAACGATTACACTGGCACGCGTGAAAAACTTAATCGAGTAATCATACGCCAAAATGCCTTACATCATTTTGGAAAAGAGCTGATACTCTTACACTACTGGGCCGATATTAACCAAACATGGCTAAGAACTACCACAAGGAAACTGGCTTTTAAATGAAAAAAACCGCATCGAAATCAGTTCATCCGTTTGAAAGCTACGATGCCACAGACAGACACACACATACACACATCGACGTCAAACTTATAACACCCCTCTTTTTGCGTCGGGGGTTAATAAAATAGTATTGAACTCTAAGTTTGAATCGTTAGTCAAAATTCTTTTGCTTTATAATGTACATAGAAATCGAATACAACTATAATACAAATTTCATCATTTAAAAAAAAACTACAACAATCACTTAACAAATTTCGTTCACAGCTATTTCTACCCGCATCCTTATATTTTAAGAGCACTTAGATAAACCTTTTGCTACCCCTTAGAAATTGAAAAATCTTTATAATATTAATAATGCGACAAAAAAATGTAGTCACAAAATAGTTAAATATTTAATACATGGGGCATACATCCATATCCATACTAATATTATAAATGTGAAAGTGTGTTTGTTTGTCCTTCTTTCATGACGAAACAGAGTGACTGATTGGAGAGTGACATAGGCTACTTTTTACTGCGGGAGATTGTCTCATTCCCACGGGAAAACACGTTATAATACAACCCAAAAAATATTTATGATCAGAATTACTTGAATATTGTATATATATATTTAATAGACATGCCTGATGCATTTATAAGAGATAATATTATTTTTTAAATAGTTTTATGTACTATTACTTAAACCTTTAATATAGGTTCACACCAGAACAGCTGAACGGTTCTGGACCAAAAATTGGCACAGAGATAGATTATAGTCTGGAATAGCTTACATGCTACTTTTTATCCCGAAAAAATGTACAGATAAAGATTATTATAACATACTATACTTTTTATCTATACTAGTATTATAAAGCGGTAAAGTTTGTGACGTTGTAGGGGGTAGTCTCTATCTACTGAACCAATTTAGATGAAATTTAGTAACAAAGTAGTTTGAGACCCTGGGAAGGACATAGGATACTTCTTATCTCGGAAATCATCCCTTAAAGGGTGAAAATGGGGATGAAAGTTTGTATGGGGAATCAAGCTAGGGACGAACCCGAGCGAAGCGATGGTGAGTCGCTAGTATTGAATAAATTTAATTCAATTATAAAACATTAATGTAAATCAATATGTAACCCTCAAATAAAAAATGTTATTGTTTGATGTAATTACCATAATTTAATAGCTAGACAAAACTTACACAACCCATTAAAGCCTTATCGTTGTAATGTGTTGTATACAATCGAAAACCGTAACGGAAAAACAATCTATTTAGAAATCGAGCTCCCTAATAATTACAAAAAGAACAACAAGTCACATCTAATTTGTAAAGATCTATATGCGATAACATATTTGAATACCAGAAGTTTTTTTATTTAAAAGCGCCATATTTGAATTCCTAGCATTTAAATAAAATTGATTTTTAAAGTGAAACTTAATGGATATTATGTAATTAAACTTATTGCGCTGTTCCCTGTTTATTCTCAGTCCTTATATTATAATTCAAATTTTATTATATTACTAGCATTGTCCGCGGTTCCACCCGTGTTCAAATTACCAAAAACCAAATTCTTAGGTTTTACATATTAGTATAATACTCTTACATAGTTTTCTTACATAGTTTTTGTGTTTTTGTATTTTTTCTCAGAAATGAGATATTTTACCGCGGTAAAAAGTATCCTATATGTTGACCCAGATAATCAGCTATCATCATACCAAATTTCATTAAAATCTGTCCAGTGGTTTTCTCGTGATGCGGTAACAGACAGACAGATAGACAGACAGACAGACAGACAGACAGACAGACAGATAAAAATTCTAAAAACTATAGATTCCGACTCTGTATCGATAATAATGTCTATTTCAATTAGATTTCCCAAAAAAAAATTTTATTTACAGATTCGACTTAGTTACATTTTTATTATATGTATAGAAGATCAAAAATAGGACATGGATTATATCCATTAGGTATAATTTCCATATAAAATGTAGGTTAAAGATAAAAGATGTATAATTACCCAAGAAAATCCAATGCAACCAATTCCCGAAGACAGCATATCGCCGAGGATTGAGGGATATGCGTTACCACTCGGGAAATATGCATGAAAATTTGGATGTTGCCAGTGAGTAAGCCCAGGCATGATCTTATGCTCTACATCGCACATCACGTCTTCCCAGTCTTCAGGATACATAGGAGCTTTTGAAGGCAGCTCCTTACGAAGGTATCCAGGTTCCACCGCTGGAGTAACACGCCGGGTCCGCAAAGTGTTCATATACGTACATATATAATCAACCATCTCTTTACCGCGCACACGAAATTCTTCTGTATCCATTTTAATGGTTTTATGATATCGCTATTTGTTTAAAAAATAACAAAGCCTAGTATGAGAAGACAGGTTGTGCTCTCGACGGTGTGGCGTCTTCTGACTGACTCCACCATCAAGCGGTAGTGGCTCTTCTTTGGTCCGCTAGAGGCGGGTGGGCGAGCGGCGGGCGGGGTGCGGACGCGTATATTAAGTGGTAAGATTGTAGGGTGGGAATATACCGAGCTATTTGCTCGGTACATTCCCATATATTATGCGTTATTTTTTATATAGTAAATATGCATGTATGTACGTATGTTAATTATCTATACATATAATAAAATTCTAACTGAGCCGAATCTGTACATGAAATATTTTTTGGAAAATCTTATTGAAATAGACATTATTATCGATACAGAGGCCGAAACTATAGTTTTTAGAATTTTTGTCTGTCTGTATGTCTGTTACCGCATCACGGAAAACCCACTGGAGGGATTTTGATGAAATTTGGTATGGTGGTAGCTGGTTATCCGGGTCAACATATAGGATACTTTTTACCGCGGAAAAATATCTCATTTAAGAGAAAAAATACAAAAACTGCAATGTAAAAGTATACTAATATGTAAAACCTAAGAATTTGGTTTTTGGTCATCTGAACGCGGGCGGAGCCGCATGCAATGCTAGTTCCTTATAAATTTACTAATCACTATGAAAAGCCGTTCTTAAATAAATCTACAAGTTTAGTCTATCTGCGATTATAGGTTATCATTACAATGATGAAAATAGAGTTTTTTAAAATGAAATTTGGACTCATATCTTCTACTTTGTGTAATATTTTGACAAAATACTTAATTTTTTCAGAACAGATCGCCCGCGCTCGAAGCAGCGGCGGTCGCCCTCAACTGCCACTTCATTGAGTCAGCTAAACGTTTACTGTGATACTTTTTCTGTATCAGTAGTAGAAGCCTCTGAATTGTATTCTGTTGTTCTAATTTAAAAATACTATTATGTCATAAGTTTTTTTTACGTAAATATAATTTAAACGTATTTAAGCTACGAATGTAGTTAAGTAAGATATCTTTATTATAAACGAATTATTTCTCGTAATGTATTTGTGTGTCAAATAAAAAATGTGTGTAACTAATATGGACAGTGTATTTTTAATACGAACTAATCATACTATTTATAGTTATATATATATATATATATATATATATATATATATATATATATATATATATATATATATATATATATATATATATATATATATATATATATAAGCATAGAAAAACATGATCGGTCTACCCGAATTATAATTTACGTAGAATATTATACTTCGCTGCTCAGTTCTTACGATTAATATTTACTCGTAGTGCTTTTCCGATCTCCGGAGATTTACTCGATTTAATTTAAAGACATACCAACTCGTAATAGTAACGTATGTGCTTTTGTAATCCTTTCACTCTGTTTCCGTGCACCGACCGTTACGACGTTAAAAAAAGTTTATACTACTTTTGTCTCGTATTAGTTAATTAATTTCGTTAATATGGGAAAAAATATTAAAAAGATATTTAGGAGACTATAATGCCCGATTTCACCAACGTCACCTAAGTTTAAGGGATCCCATAAGCATGGTTAGGGGGCTGTTAGGGGACAGTTTGTGTTTCACCGACAGTTAGGGGTCAACTAAATATTAAAAGGCCCCCTAAATTTAGGTGCTTAAAGACGATCGTAAAACGAAATTTAATCTAGGGGCTAGTTTAGGGGACATTTAAGCTATGGATCTAAGTTCTTTTCGGGCATATTATAATTTATGTTCACCGACATAATGTTATGCATGAAACATTCTATAGTCAATGTTATAGAAAATTTGATTTAAATATGTACCCAAGCAAAAATGATTCTAGCTTTATTATTGCACCTTTAAGTATAACACTTTAATTGATTTTTAAATATCCATTAGTGATGCGAAAATACAGCGAGATAATATTTAATAGTATCTAGTACTAGCGACTCACCCTCGTCTCGCTTCGGGTTCGTCCCTAGACAAAAACAAATCTATCCTACGGGAACCGTAAATTTTCCAGAATAAAAAATAACCTATGTGCTATTCCAGATTATATATAATCTATCTCTGTATCAGATTTCATCCAGATGATCATCCATCCATCCATCGATCATTCAATCATCCATCCATTCATGCTCACAAACTTTCACATCTATAATATTTATTTACACATCTATAATATTTTTTTATTATGTGACCTGTGATAGTTTATAATATATGGCGCATAATGATGGGAACAGTACGTTTTATTGGAACTGTTACGCTCCCAAAAAATAAATTTAAATACAAGTATATTTTTAGTAAATACTTTGTAAAAAGCCTAGTAAGTTTTATGTTGGTAAATGCGAATGGTTTAAAATTTGAATGATCACTTCATATCTTCCAACTACGCTTCTCCGAATCGAAATCCTTGTTATGAAAATAAATGGTATGTATGTAGATTGCTTGCTTTTAACTATGTCACACATTAACCGAATATATCAGAATCTCTATTGAAAGCTAATGACAAAAATAATTTTCAAAAGCAGTAAGGGATGATTTGTATAATGAGATATTATATATTCTGGGCAAAACTCTGTTTTGTTTTAAAGATTAAAGTAGAGTTACCTATTGGTAAAGATATTCACATAGATGCATCAATATTACAGTATATTTTAGTAAAAGGGTTAAAGAAGAAATTAAAATGTATGTAAAAATGAGGCAGTGGTAGCCCAGTGGTAACGCGCTCGCGTGGGAAACCGAGTGAAGCGAGTTCAAATTCCGGGTCTCACACCTCTGGTATTTTCATGTGCGAATCATTTCCAACATGGTTACCACTTGTTTTAACGGTGATGGAAAACATCGTGAGGAAACCTGCATATCTGAGAGACCCTAGCAAGTTTCCAAAAGACATGTGAAGTCGGCCAACCCGCACTTGGCCAGCGTGGTGGACTATGGCCTGATTTCCCTCGTACTGAAGAGAGGCCCGTGCTCAGCAGTGGGACGTTAAAAAGGGATGAATACAGACATACTCCAAAAGAAAGATGTTTAATGAAACAATGCTAATGAGCAGCCCGGCAACGATTGATTGGAATGGATTATTTATGTAAGCGTAATGACTGGTACACTTAGTTTAACAATGAGAAAAAATAATAATAGTTATTAATATAATTAAAATTGTTCCACAAATTCAACATAATTTGTTAAAAAAAATAGATTAGATATATCTTAAATATAATATTTTCTAACCAAGTAGTGACCAGCTTGTTTCTGTTGATTCTAGGTTGTCACGCAATTCCAAAAAAACTTGTGTGGCTGCTGTAGCTTGGTCAGGGAATGTTACTGAGATGTGCTCCACCTTTCTCTGTAAATATCATGAGTTTAGAATAGAATAGAATAGTAGTTTGGGGTTATGTTTTCAAAAGCAGTAATTTGATTGTTATAGAAAATATTGAATTATCTAATATCTTACTACTATTATAAATGCGATAGTTTAGATAGATGGATGTTTGTTAATCAATCGCGCCAGAATGGCTAAACGGATCTGGATGAAATTTAGCACACAGATAGATTAGGTATATTTAGAATATGATATTCTAAATATGTACTAGTACTAATAGGTATAGGCTACTTTTTATCCCGGACAAACTTACGATTCCCGTGGGATAGGATTTATTTTTGTTTTTCACAGAGCAAGGGACTTTCGACTATTTCTTCCATACTAACCTTTAAAATGTACCTAGGGATGATCATAGAGACGAACCTAGGGACGAACATATAGGGATGAGTCGCTAGTTTTATATATTTTGTACTAATTAACTAAATTGTTTGTTCAATCTAAATAAATCTCAGAATCAATCAAAATTTCGAGGTCAACTGCTTATAATCTATAGTTAAAATTGCGATATTAAAATTTTTATGATAAAAAATTACGCTTTGATTTCTTATAAAAATAAACCTAAGTTAATAGACTAGACAATAATAATATGTTCATAATTTTCAATATATCTCACGCAAATTTTCTAGTCTGACATCAAGTTAAAAGATATGCTCTACAGGAGCGGTATTAATGGTATTTATAATGCGTATTTAGTTCATGATGATGATGATGTTCTCCTGACCGATTCCGGCCACGGCGGCCAATCTCATTGAGACTAACCAACTGCGCAGGAGATATTATAGTTTATATGTTTAGGAGATATTACCGTTTTCGCGAGGTTTTACAATAGAGTCCACAAACAAGATGATTCGTCTGCTCTAACAAAACTTGATACATAATTAATATAGTATTTTATTAAGGTTATAAGTTAGCAGTAAATTATTATTTTTTTCTTTACTTCCTATAATCAATTAAATATATCATGATATTAAATTTGATTTGATTTTTTTTATTAAATATTTTGACCTTGTAACCGAGAACAGATTTTGCGACTTGTTTGTAAACATTTACTATATATTAATTTCACAAACAAAATATTTTTTACAAGTAAATATTAGTCATGAGAATTGAGCATCGAAGCATAATTAATGATAAAACGAACTCTACTTGTACGTGAAGTTCTATCGTAATTATGAAAGCTACTGGTACAAAGATCCCACCTTGCATTTCCACCCCATAACATTGACGCAGAAATCTGGCCAGTTTAGTTTGTTTACAGGATAGCCAGCTCTAAATTTAATGACAGGAAAATTTTGCGTGAAGGTAAAAATTTGAAAATGATTTTATTTTTTCTTCTAATAAAGTAACATGTAAGTATTAATCGTGAGGATTGAACAGCGAATCATATTTCGTAACATCATCGGTTTAGGCTGAACGTTGATAAATCAGTAAGTCGCGACATTGCCTTTTTTTATATTATATAATAAAAATAGGTACTGCGACTGTACCGTAGGAGATATTGCGGACTTTGTAGGCCTTCTTAAGACCTACAATTTTCTAGTACATTGTTTTGATGTATCTTTAAAGGTTTAGCCAGCGTTA